GGGCCTGTATAAATTGCAACATTAGCATGATCGGATACCAGAAGCAGCCATACATCGGATTTCGCTGAAATTTTACCGATAAATACGTTTCATGATGAGAGGAATTTGTAAAAATTTATCTGTACAACTGTTTTCACCGGCTGCGACGATTCAAGAATCTCGGGTAACTTTACTCCCTCTCTTCCGTTCAGGACTTCGGGGAACTTTACTCCCCCATTCCCGCTCTCACTTAGAATTTTGGGGAACTTTACCCCCTCTTTTCCTTTTAGAATTTTTAGAAATTTCATCCCCCTCTTTTTTATTTTGAAGATCTCGGGGAACTTTTACCCCTTTCTTCCTTTTCCTCTGATTCTTCGTTCTTGCACTTCTTTGTATATCAACTGTAACACATGGCAAGTTTGAAGTTGTACTCTGCAGCAGAAGCGACACACACAAAGTTATGCTCTAAATCTAGCAGCTATCACCACACTTTAACGCATATTTTGTACCATCAATTAGGCCGACAGCTCCACGGTCGTTGTAACCATATCTATGTCAATGGTCTACTGCAGATGACCTCACAATCATTTTTTTTGGCTTTTCTGTTCATTGAGCAGTGTCTCCTCTGCTGCGTGTGTCGCATAAATTGCTCGTATTGATAAGCAAACTGCTTAAGGGGAGTGGAATTTTGGATGAATTTTTAGCATTTTCTCATTTTGAAGCATTTTTTGAACTGAATTCTCAATAAACTTCCGTCCAAGTACTTTAGGTGGCTTGGAATTTGTAAACAACTAAGAAAAGCAACAGAACCCAGGGACAGACGAAAAAGCACCTCAAATAATTATCAGCACTTTTGAGCCAAATTTTGAAATGTATTCGAAAGAAATGCCAAGCCAAGCCTGACCCTACTTAATGGCAGTGTTGATTTTAATGGTCAAGAAGTGAAGAAAAAAAAGCTAAACCAAAGTTCTGTGTGTGTTAGTGGTTATGAATAATGAAAAATTGAAGGGAAATACATAAAATTCAACATTTTAAAGATGCAACGAGGTCTTACGATTGCACACTGCTTAAAGTTCGTTAAAATCCTTCGGGGTTTTCGGTTTCTCCATCCTAAGTTCCCATTTGACCTTTATTTTACTCCATTTACTGGCCGGATTGGCTGTGACCCCTGTGTCGAAGTGAGGTGGCGTATAAATTTTAGGCAAAGGCATACTTTTCTGGTGTAATCCGATCGGTTACGTTCGGCACAATCTTGGCCACTGTGTCCTATTTATAGTAAGCTGTGTGGTTAGAGTTTTTTGCTGTAAAATCCGGGAATTTTGATCCGATACGGGCAGAAAGATGGACGAAGCGGATAATGCAATGGTGTTCGCGCACTGTCAAACGAGCACTGGGGAGGCCACCAGTGAGGTACAGAGACCGCAAGGTGGTATGGTAAGGGGCGAGGGACGGTCCCTTGAACGTAAATTGGCAATATTTGAAATATCAAAAATCCGTTTTTTGAATACGATGATAAATGGGAGTGTTGATGCTACGAGCTGAGCGGACGCTCGTATGGCCTTCAGATGTTCCGAGAAGCAGCGCCGGTTCTTTTTGACGACGCCAGACTTCCTT